GTTCCGGATTTGGAGTGCCACCCTCCTTCATTCAAGGGCTAATTGTAGTATACATTTAGCAACATTGTTTGCTAACGTTGTTTTAACACAGTGCAGTTATCATCCATTTTTGTTATAACTGGTGATCAGGTTCTTTTCTATGACTGATCTGTCATGTTTTCCCTTTTGGATTGCAGCCCATTTGACAGAGAATGATGTGGAGTGATAAGCAAACAAATGGGGCTTTGCTTGACATCTTGTCAGGGAGAAAAAAGTGAATGCAGATGAATTCACTATTCTGCTGCCTTTGCCTTCCTCCCCCTGTTAGCTTTCCAAGCCTTTGACGGCAGCTTCTCTCTCTCTCTCTCTCACAGAGCATTTCTGCAACTTGGAGTCTCTTCTGGGTAGACCAGTCTCTTCTGGTCTGCAGAGAGGAGAGTCAGTGAGCTTCAGGGGTGGACCCTGAAGTCAGCTGCATTGGAGGACACTCCTGCTTGGGCATTAGATTCTGGAGCCTTTCTCCTGGGTGTGGTTTGGTGAATTGAGGTTGGGAGTAGGAATGGTGGTTTTGTTCTTTCCTACTCTGTGGCTCTTTGTCCTTAAAAGGTCACAGGTCCCATCCTGGGATCAAACCAGGTCCAAGAAGCAATGTGCCCCTGCAAAGCAATAGCACCCCACTGGTCCGTATAACTGGGGAGAATGAGAGACTTTGCAGAAATTCCTTCTGAATAGAGACTTAGAAAGGAGGCCCTGCTAAAAGTGTTAGCCCTCACTAAAAATCTTTCAAACGTGCATTGCTCCATTTGTGCTGGAAAAACTAAGGGGGCCCTTTGGAGGAATGCTTTTCCTTGCATGAGCTACCAAAAGAGAAGTAAAGAAGCTGGGGCTGAGTTTATCTCTGCCTGAGTCCCATGTCCATGGCTCATGAAAACTGGTTTACAAATAAAACTAGGTGTTTTCTTCTGGTTCAACCTTTCAAAAAGTCGAGAGTTAGGGTGGGGGAGGGCAGGGGAAACTCCATAATCAATGACTCTTGTTGGATGAGTCCTGATTAATGAGCTTGAGCTATGTAGTTTATTTTCCTTGCTCCCTCCTCTTTTTAATCAATAAAGAGTTTCTGGATTAAGGATTCACTGAGAGCTCACATTATTTAAGTCTCATATGTAATCAATTTCCCAAGATTTACCCTTTTGCTCCTTGTTCAGCTCATCTTGGTAGCCACTTGCTACCCTCCTGCCACACACCAGCTTCCCTGGGAGGTTCTGCCAGGCTCTGCAGAGGTGGGCGAGGCAGGTCTGATGCTCACCTCTGGTGGTGGGAGTAAGAAGTTGGTGCCAAAATCCGAGTTCTCCATAAGCTCCACATCATATGCAATCAAGGATTTGATCTGGGAACTAAGGATGACTTCATAGAGGGACAGGCATTGGAGTAGAACCCCAAGGGCAGCCCCAGGCGGGACACTCTGGTGGAGAGAGTAACTGCGGTTCAGAGACAGGGAAGGGTGAGGTTGACCCATTTTTCTAAGGGTAATCACAATTACTACTGCTGTGCATCTGGGATGTATAGACATGTTATCTTATCTTGTCCTTAGAACATGGGCAGGCAGACTTTTTCTGGGAAGAGTTGTATACTAAGTATATGAGGTTTTGTGGGCCAAAGATCTTTCTTTCAGAGCTGCTCTACCTTGCTCTGGTAGCATGCAAGCAGCCGGACACCACAAGTGGATGTGGATGTGTCATGTGGAACTTTGTTTACACAAACAGGTGGTCAGCTGGCATTAGCCCAGCCCACAGTTTGACAGCCCCTACCTAGTAATAGATTTGTTGTAATCCCCAATTTATGGAGGATGAGAGTAAGGAACAGAAAGACTATTACAAATGAATTTGCCCAGGGCCAAGGACCAACTGAACTTGGTCATATTCCAAAGACTGTTCTTATCTTCTGTACCCACTGTCTCCCCTGCAAGGGTTGGGTGCATTCAGTGAGGAGTGGATGGAGGCCAGTGTAACAAGTTTGCCTTTAATTCAGGGGGTGGTGGGGAGCCATTGAGGATTGTTTGAGCAGGCAATTAGATTAGCTCTGAGCTCGGAGAAGATGAATTTGGCAGGAGTGTTTAGCTAGATTACAGCTGAGACAGGAATTCTTGTTTTGGAAAAGGCTAAAGTCACTTGGGCTGAGCCATTTCCATCTACTCTAGCCTTTAAATGTTCTCTCTGTACCTGACACCTGCATGGCCTGTGCATGGCTGCACATTGTGTGTGTGTGTGTGTGCACGAGCACGTGTGCACATAAGTCTGGGTGTACTTGTTGAAAGAAGTTGGCTTCACCGTCCCAGCTGGACTGTGCAAGCTCACATGGAGGGCTGCTTGTAGAGGCAGCATGTCTATCTCAAAGACCCTTAATCACCTAGGAAGGGATTAGCACTGGGCCTTGGCCTGGGGTGCTCAGCATGTCCTTGCCGAGCTCCGCTTCTCACTGGGCTATGCTCTTGGTGCACATGACTTTAGCCTTTGGCTTGTCCTCTTGGTCCCTGCCATTGGGTGGTAAGACTCCTCTGGAGTTTGAGAGAGGAGAAAGAGTGCCTCCCTTCCTGGCTCGCAAGAAAGGCTTGCCCTGTGGCTTTGGCTCTGCTCTTCTTTTACACTCTGCCATATTTTATAGTTCCAGATGGGGAGTATTCCAAACTCTAGAAACTTTGCTGTGAGTAGGAGAAGAAATTCCAGATCGCATGTGTCCTGGAGGTTCAGGGTAGAGGCTGTGGTCTGTTTTGTTGTGGCCCATTTTATGGTGCTGGTTGTAAAAATTTGAATATTCACTTACTTATTGACTGTATTTCAGCATGTGGCAAATTCTGAGTCCTTGCCTATATATCTCATTTCATCTTCATAGCAGCCCACTGATGGTAGGCGCTGCCGTCAAAATCTTGCAAATGAGGACGAGGTAAGCCAAAGGGCACAAAGGTGACAGGAGCACAGCAGCTAAGATTCAGAGCAAGTCCAGGGTCCTCCTCTGCCACCTTCCTCCACTGCCTCTACTTACTGAGTCCCAGCGGGTCAGGCTAGGGGCTTCCATATGGTCACTCACTGGGTCTCCACTGCCACAAGGATGCCTGTTTTACAGGTGAATAAACTGAAGTCCATAAAAGTTGGGGACTTACCGAGGACATTCAGATAACAAGGTTTGGGTTTTGATTTTTTTATTGTAATTCTTTCAGTAAGAGCATAATTGAATAAAGGTTGAGCCTATGTTTAGTAGGGGGGTGTATTGGGGATTGAACCCAGGGGTGCTTTACCACTGAGCTACATCCCCAGTTTTTTGTTTGTTTGTTTTTGAGACAGGGTCTTGCTAAAGTGCAGAGGCTGGCCTTGAACTTGTGATCCTCTTGCCTCAGCCTCCTGAGTTGCTGGGATTACAGGTGTGAGCTACTCTGCCCAGCTTTGTGTTTATATTTTAATAAACTTATAAACTATGATTATCTCCCAAGTTATACGGACCAGTGGGGTGCTGTTGCTTTGCAGGAGCACATTACTTCTTGGACCTGGTTTGATTCCAGGAAGGGACCTGTGACCTTTTAAAGACAAAGAACCACAAAGTAGGGAATGAACAAAACCACCTTTCCTGTGAACCCTTCTACGCAGAGGAGACTCCAAGTTGCAGAAATGCAGAACATCTAAGGAATCCTAGAATAAGTTAGCCAGGGGCTGAACCTGGCTCTGCCACTTACTATGACCTGGAACCCAGGTAGAGTAGTCAGAGGTGCTGCGTCCCTAGAAGGGCCTGGCTCCTGACCCCATTCCAGGAGCCTTCAGGGCAGCACCCCATTGTGTTAGATGACCCTTGCAAGAAAGGAGACCGGGAAAGAAAAGGGCAAAGTTGAAGCGTCTGCTACTCTGTGCTACTCTGTGAGTCACATGGATACTCATAGCAGGCCAGCTGGTGGAGGGAGAAGCAATATCTCATCATTGTGGAGAAGACATCAAATGGATTCATATGCTTATGACCACTTAAGGGGGGAGACAGTTGTCTGAGAGGTCATTTGTTCTTGTCACTGGGACAGGTGTGGCTGTGCAAGAGTATCTGTCTGCAGGCATACTCCTACCTCCCTTTATGAGCTCCCCAATCTGTACATGGAACTTAGCACTCAAAATCATGGGTGCTGTTTTGTTTTGTGCTTTGTTAGCTGGGGGGAAAGTTTCCAGGTGAGACTTTTCTTGTGTTTGCTGGACTGCCTTGGAGAAAATATTGTTTTGCTCTGATGATTCTGTGACCAAGAAGAGCAGGTCTGATGCACCCCCTACAGGGCCTGCTCTCCCGACTCCACGGGTGACCCAGCTTTTGCCTTCCAGGGTGCTGCGCACACTGATCTTGTGTTTAAAGATGTTGGAATTTGCTGGGGTTTTGTCCACAGAATCCCAACAGTGAAAACGATGCCTGGCTTTTAAATTAAACTGATTAAATTTGAGATTATGGTGAGGCCACAAATAACTCCACTCATACAGAGTAATTGAAGGGTCTGTGTTTTCGTACTTGGCTTCTTTACAAGGGACCCAGGCTCCTGAGAACTGGGCTGACTCAATAGCCCTCGTTACTCTGAAAGGGCCTGTTAAAAGATGCCCATTGGGTGGTAACCTCCCCATACGTTTTCTCCATGAAGAGAAAAAGATGAGAAGGGGTGGGGGCGACTTCGCTTGTATTTAGAGCCACAGCCTCTCAAAGCCGTCTGGAGCAGACTGTTTAGTTCCTTGTCCCCTGTCCCATTCAGGCCTCTGCATGTTTTGAAGCTTTCTTTAGCTTTTCCCCAAGCCTTGATGGCAGATCTCTCAATAGGCGACAGCCCAGCCGTGGTGAGCTGAATGCTTGGTCGGCACAATGCACTGAATTTTAATGGTGCAGGCTGGCCCCGAGAGCTGCCAGCATGCTGGTGGCTGCTGCGCCCAAGCAAGCAGTGGCCCAGCTGCTGCCTCAGACCCTGCAATGTGCTCTGACTGGATTCCTCAAGTTGCCTGTCTGCTTTTTTGCAGATCTACACGGACTGGGCCAATCATTATCTGGCCAAATCCGGCCACAAACGTCTCATCAAGGATCTCCAGCAAGATGTGACCGATGGCGTCCTCCTGGCCCAGGTCATCCAGGTCGTGGGTAAGAGCGTGTTCGTTCATCCTTGGGTTTCCATGATTACCACAGAGCCAGCCGGGAGGGCTTGCCTGGGCCAAGGAGTGTAGGACCTGAAGTCCCGCGAATTATGATTGATTTGATTCCACCCATTGACCTGGTTGCGTGGGGACCAGCTTGCTGTTCCTGTAGGAGCACACACAACTAACTCACCTGGATCCTCTTAGAGGAAGATTGCCCAGGGCCAGAGGTTGTTGACGGGGCTCTCTTCCTGTTCCTGCTACATTTCTGGTTCTCGTATATGGTACTTTTTGTGTGGATGACTCTGGAAATATTAAAAACAAAACAATAAACCTGACAGGGGGCTGGTTTAATCCTGCCAGCTGTAATTAGGTGTGAGAAATCAAAGGCTAAAACTCCAGAGAGGGTTGGTTGGTCAGTTCTGGTTTTAACACGATGGGAAGGGAACTTGAGAAACGGAATTTTTAACGTCTCAGACATGAGCTGGGAGGAGAGAGTCCTTCCTGGGCAGGCAGGCGGTGGATGTTGGCGACAGCTTTGCCTTGAATCTCAGGCCCCCGTGGTCCTGCCTGAGAGCTCAGAGCAGACTGAGGAGGCGGGAGGTCAATTAGACAGCATTAGGCTGATTGTTGTCGCTGGCAGCCTTGGCAGCCGACTGATGCTAAGGGAGAAGTCACAGGGAAAGGACAGAAGCCCTGGCCCCACTAGCATGTGTCGTTGTGGAAAAGCTGCTTTTCCTTCAAGTGGGAGCAGGAGCCTTCCACAGTGGTGGCTGTGCTCGGGTGCATGGAAAGCATAGCTGGACACACAGACACCTTGCCTGGGCTGAAATGTGGGGACCGGCACTGCTGCTCAGAGACAAGGAAGTTTCCCTGCTGCGTCAAGGTTGATGTCCTGAGCCTAGCTGCCATTGTTCCTCTTTCCCTTTCTCTGCTTTTTATTCTCCCCTCTGTGTTAGTTTTCTTTCGCTGTATAACAAACGTAGCACCTTAAAACCACTCATCTTTATTCTCCCTTGGTGTAGGTGCATCCAGAGTCCAGGCAGGGCTCAGAGGGCCTCTGCACACTGCAGTCAGGGTGTCCTGGGGCTGTATTCTCATCTGGGTCTCTGACCATGGAGGGTCTTCATTTTGGCTCACTTGGGGGAGGTAGAATCCATTTCTTGCAGTTCCGGGACTGTGGATCCTGGTTGCTCACTGGCTGCCAGCTGAAGCAACCCTCACCTCCTACAAACTGCTCAGCTCCTTGCTACACAGACCACTCGCTTCTTCAGTGCCAATAAAGGAGAACTTTCTGGAGAAAGCATGCTAGCAGAATGAACCTATATAGAATGTAGCATAATTGTGGGAGCAACAAGTCCAAGGTCCTGCCCGTGCTCAGAGGGATGGGATTATTCCAGGGCAAGGACACCAGAGTGTGGGCATCATGGGAAGCCACCTAAAGTCTGCCTGCCACACTGCTCTTGTTAGAATGTTTCCCCTTCCTCCTGCTTTTCATTGTCATTTGTACCAAGTTTCTTTTCAAATATTTCATCCTCCCTCAACATTCCTGTGCAGGAGGTGTTGTTCCCATCTCGCAGGTGCAGGAATTGAGGCCCAGCAAGGCTGAGTAGTGCAATATATCAGGATTCTGTGTGGGAGTCCTAATTGGGGCGGTATGCTTCTTTTAAAGCTTCAGTTCATTGCTTTGCAGCTTTACACCACATCTCAATTCACAGACACTGACCCTAGCACAGGGCTGTGTCTTCCTTCACTTTAGTTTAGTTGTCATTTATTGAGCAGCTACTGTGTGCTTCTTTCTAGGAATAAAGAGATGAATGCACAGGGTTCAGAACCTTGGAAGAAAGGGTACTGTCTTCTTATCAGGGTCTTTCTTCATGAAAGGTGTGAGTTACGTCTGAGCTGGGATTTAGACTTTGTCTCAGCAGGCTGACCCTAGGCACGTGGCCTGCTTGGTAGTCTCAGTGTTGTACTGAGTTGTTTCTACTGGGAATCTCCCCAGGTTTCAGCACAGGCAGCAGGAGAGAAAGGATCTTACTGAGAGGCCTTGCTCTCATCCCAACTCGAACCCTCCCAACTGTGGGACCTCAGGAGGGGCACTTTGTCTCTGCTGCCTGTTTCCCTATCTTTGAAATTGGGGACAATCACATTTGTTTTCTCTGATCTTATGACCATCTTATGAAATTCAAGTTTGGCATCAAATATAAGATATGTTTGGAAATTATGAAGTGCTCCTGGATAGCAGCTGTCTAGAAAGTTATGTACAGGATGATGCTGAGGTCTCAATATGAGTGTTTGGTATATCAGGATAGATGAGTCATGTCTGCCATGGGCTCAGAATAGGCAAACAGTAGTGTGTATGCTGTGAATTTACTAAATAGTGCAATGAAAATGTAAAATACCACATTTTTTAAATCATTGCTTCAGAGCCTTCTTTCCTGAAATCTATGAGTTGAAACTCCCTAGGCAGTGGCTTCTTTGAGTCTGAGCTACTGATCTGTGGTTCCTGAGGCTCAGGTTAGTATGAGTCGATAGCCCTTAACTAAAATGCTTGGGACCAGAGTATCTTCAATTTCAGAATCTTTTGGATTTTGAAATATTTGCATATGTATAAAATGAGATATTGGGAATGCTAGAGTCTAAACATAAAATTCCTCTATATTTAATATAAATACCTTATACACATAGCCCAAAGGTAACTTTTTAAATACCTGTGGCCATGAAATGAATGTTTCATGGTGTGGAATTTTCCACTTGTGATGTCAAGTTGGTGCTAAAAAATTTCTTATTTGGAGTATATTTCAGATCTTTAAATTAGGGATACTTATGCTTTACCAGCAGCTCCGGCTGTACTTCAGGCCACCACATTGCTTTACCTCAGACCTCCAGGAGAGGATCACTCTGACCAAGTAAGGCCAGGTGTCAGCACGTGACCCTTCCCCTGAATGTGTCATGCTGTATACCCTCTGCTATGTGTGGCAAGCAGAGGCCCAGAAGATAGGAGCCAAGAAGGCAGCAGATCTTTCCTAGACTGTCTGTTAGCCAGGCCAGAGCATTTCATCCTAGAGTATCTTGTGATACAGATCCCTGGCAGGGTGGAGTGGGGTGTATTTTCTGATCAGGAGGCTGAGCTATTGAGCATTTATGCTTTTTAATGTTGAAGTCACTGCTTTCCCCTACACATAAACCCATGAAAGGAAAATCGGAAAAGATAATTTGTATGTGTGCATGTATTTAATATATACCTGTGTATAGAAATACATATATTTCTATTGACATAAAAGTTTCTAAGAACTGGAGCCTCACTGACTCCTTCTTGCATTGTACAGAATTCTGATGGTTGTGCTTATTCTTTGGCTGCTGAGCTCCTACTTACTGAAAAGTCATTTTCTCTTTGATACTTTTTCTGGCTCCCTAGGCATAGGTGGAGGGACCTCCCCATTATCCCACTGCCTGTGGTCTTGGGCCAGGGGCCCTCTCTAGGCTGGGCTCTGAGTTGTCTCCTTTCTGGGTTCAGCATTTAGCATGTTGGCATAAAGTGATGTTTTGGAAAAGTTGAGAGGATTAGGAATAAGAATTGTATTTACTATAAGCCTGGGTTGGATCATTTCCGGAGGTAAGCCTGGATGTTTCCCCTTGTTATTGTTTAGTATTCCTCTAAATTGTATCACACCTCCTTTCCAGTATTCTCACCTGTCAGGTTTGGAAAGGACCTTTGAAATTCATGTACCATGTACCCAACCAGGTACATGAATCACTTCTATGAAAACTGGTCACCAGCCTCTTCAGTTACTTCCTATAATGAATGAGCTGCTTATCACCCCTCCAGGTAGCTCCTTGTAATGATGGACAGGTGGAATCCTTCAAAAGCTCCTATTCTAGTCCCTTCAGACTGCTATAACAAAATTCCATAGACTGAGTGGCTTATATACAATAGAAATTTATATAGTTTGGAAGGCTGGAAAGTCCAAGATTGGGGTGCCAGCTGATTTGGAATCTGAAGGTACATGTGCATTTCTTGTTTATATATGGCTGGCTTCTCACTGTGCCCTTGCATGGTGGAAGTGGATGAGGAATCTCCAGAGACTCTTTTATAAAGACTCTAATCCATTCATGAGGACTTTGTCCTCATGGTCACATTTCCTCCCAAAGGCTCCACCTCCAAATACCATTTCCTCCCAAAGGCTCCACATCCAAATTCCTCACCCTGGGAATCAGGTTTCAATATGTGATTGGGAGGATACTTAGATATTTAGACCATCATAGCTCTTCTTTCATCCAGTCAAAGTCTATACCCTTTAGTAGTATCTGAGTTCTGCTTTCTAGGGCTACAAAGGAGCATCTATTCTGGGGCCATCAAAATAAATTAAGAACAGTAGGGAATTAAAATCACTGAATAAAAGGAAAATCAAAGGGAGCTTTGTACAGGAAAAGGACCTGTGACTGGGAGAAGGAGAGGGAGGAGGGAAGCACTGGAGAGTAATTTTGGCCAAATTATGTTGTTATTTGTACGCATGAATGGATATGTAATAATAAGTCTCCCATCATTATGTACAATTATAAGGCACCAATAAAAATACAGAAAGAAAAAAGTCATTGAATAAAATATGAACCCACAAATCTGTACTATGAATAAACAGGTAAATTTAAAAATAAGTACGCCATTGGAGGAGAAGAGAGGGTTAGACTGTTCAGAGCACTGACTGATGGGAAATGTGGAGGGAGTTCAGTCATCATGGTGAAGATCTTTTATGTCAAAAGACATCAAAGGAAGCTGAAATCTGGAGGAGAAAGTTGATGGGAGCAAGATATTTACATGGTCTAAGAATTTCTCTCCACAGATGGCTTGATAGTTGCAAGGGGAAGTCTAGTAACCATTAAGGGGAATATCCAGGCCACATCCAGGTGATCCAAACTCCATCACTGGTTGGGATGGATAGGTCAGGTCCTTCCTGACCTCAGACCCTTAGCACATGTAGCTTAGGTTGTACTCCAGTCAGAAATGGA